TAACCCTTTGGTCATTTTTCTGGAGATATTTTGGAAAGAAAAGTAAAGGAGGAATGTGAAAACTTTACTGTATTTGAATCAGATAGATTACGTTACCATTTCAAAAAAAAGTATTCGTGGCGAATTTTGTCAAATTTAGAATAATTCCGTTAAATCAATTGCATGAATAAATCGATTGTTAATTCAGACTGATATAGAAATATAGAAATATGCCATCAAAGGCTCCAATTTCCTTTTCATCCTCTTTTTTGTACCGATCATTTAATTTGTCGTCTATAGGACTAATCGATCATGGTGCGAATAACCATTTTACGTTACAGTACTCTTTTAATCGTAATTTAATTGATTCTCATTGTCGGTAGATTTTTTTGCGAACACCTTATATTTTTGATTATCAAGTACATTATATGTAAGAACAAGCATTTTTTGAAAGAAAAATGTAAAAACGATGGGCAAAAATTATTATCGTGGAGTCATGCATACGACTCTTTTGTATTATTTATTACCAAATGACTCCTTGACGACAATCCCCAACTTCAGTCACGAACAGCGGAACTTAGCCATAAATGATGAGCGTTAAGCACTTAATTCTGTAAATTTAAAAAGTTTGCAGATTTAAATTCCGCAAATATTCATGAAAAATAATATGTGTGCCAAGAAATTGCCGGATAAGTGTTTGTCTTTGAAAAATTTATAAATAGAACTATCCGCTCTGCCGAAAAATGTCAAAAAATTTGTGACAAACAATGTGTGCTAATTAAATGTGAAATATTCCATTTTCCCTTTTTTCAACTGGAATCAGAAAAGAAATATAAAGCCTTAATTAACTGTTAACTGTTAATTTCGATCGCATATAATTAAAGATAAAGTTGTGCTGGGAGCTTGCTTATCTTTTGATCTTTAGAGAATTCAGGATTATCTTGACGAAGTACTTAATTTCCATAATTACCTTAACTGAAGATTGATAAGTTAAAAGTTTGCACTTAGTTTCATTTCCATAGTATTGCCAATTTTTTGATGGCGATATTCATAGGTAAGATGTGCTGGGAATCTGTTTATATACTTTGCGTATTAAACGTTCTGGATATTTTATTTTTATACTTTTTGAAGCATTTTTTTATAAATTTATTTAATAAAAAATTAGACTGTATATCATTTCTTTAAAAACTTCTTAATGACCAATAACCATTAATATATTTAGGGCTGAATTAGAAGTTGATTCGATCGAAGTTAACATCATGTTTTCGACTTTGCTTTGGTAATTAACTTATCATTTAAAATGAAGTTGCAATACTGTTAGGAGTTTAACCGCATTTTTGTCCTCAAATAACTCTCTAGTGGAGTGGAAGGATCCCATCTTATCAGTCAGCCAGGCTAACCAAAGCAGTATTGATAGATAATAGATATAGATAAAAGAAGATTCTCATATCTATATCCGGATGATGGATTTGGATTTCCTGAAATCATTTGCAATATTTGCAATTAATGCGTATATGGTGATTACAGATATGGCTAGAGCGATTATTAAAAGATAGTTTCAATGTGTAATTGCTGGGTGGGTATGAATTTGTGATAGAGGCGGCGACTAAGTTTTAGTTTAGGCCATTCATAGATATAGTATACCAGAATATTGTTGTTCATTACCTTAGGTGTCCTTATTTTTCCAATCATTTATCCGTTAAATCCATTAAATAAATTTATTAGAATTAAGAACAAAATTGATTTGATTATTTTTATAAATTTTTTTTTGTTTTTCGCTCAGAGGCAATCAAATCAATCGTTTTTTTCTCCTCTGTTGATTGTTGATTGTTCTCCAGCGAAATTAGATTTTCACCATTTAATCGTGTTTTTTTAAAGAATTATTTTATGATGGCACTAGGTTTTATTGCTGTTGTATTGATTATTTACGACTAGGGATGTGATAGTTGAATGATATGTTGCTTCGACTAATGTTAAATCATCATAAATTCGGTAAAAGCCTGCCATTTAAAGTGAAGTCCGGATAGTGCACGAAGTCCACTTACTTACGATACCCAAGTGGCTCTATGGCAAAGGAATATCACTCTAAATAAAGGGAAGAAATGGCAAATGCTTAAAAGAGCGTTTTTAACTGTTAATTTATTATTAATTGTCCATGGTTCTGCTTCTAAACTTAATTGAAAGACGACCCTTGATAACTAATCTTAGCGAAGTAAAGTTAATAACAATAAGCATCTTTTTGAGTATATAAATACATATATTTTGGAAAAAAGTTCCATTATTTGTGATTTTAATCGCCATTTAGATAGCATTTGTCATCTCTATTGTGGACTGAATTTTGCTATCCAACTAATCCGAGATCACCCGTTAGGCAACATTCATTTAATAGTCTAATAATTTGAGAAGTGCGACATCGAAGGAATCATAAATATTTTTCAAAAATCGTTTGATCATTGCGCCAAATATATTCCGAGACACACATCGACTATTAAAGAGTTAAGAAACAAATCTCGTTCATTGGTCGATTATTCAATATTTTAAAAGTTTTCTTAAGGAAATATGAAGGAATGTTGTGAATGTATACTTTTAACATGCAATTTAGCTACCTTAGCATATTGGCTTACAACAGGTTCGACTATCGAGTAATTTGCCCATAATTATTATTTCGAGGCTTTTTATTTATTCGAATAGTGGATGTGTCTATCCTACTCCTTAGTCGAAGTTTAACACTGAATAATAGCGAATATTTTCGGTTTGAAATTAAGCTTAGCATGATAAATAATGATCGCATGGTGATTGATATTACGAACGGAACGAATAATAGCATGTGGATTACGAATTTGTACTATATTTGTTGAATTTTTAGAAAGGAAAAAAAAACTTTTAAAGAATCAAAGCAAATGTCAACGCATGCAATTCCGATTCGTCTGAAATTCATTAACTTTCTTCTCATTGAGGTCCAAATTCGCTTATTTAATCAAAATTCGATTCGACTGCTACTTTCAAATTCTAATTTTTAACTTTATTTATTCCTAGACTTGCATTGCTATATTCTTTTTCCCAATTTGCTTGTTCCCGCTGGCTATTAAGGTGAGGGAGTCACTTGGAGATAGAGAGATCCTGCTACTACCCTAAATTGTTGAATTTGATCATATTAACAATAAATAAAATTGTCGTTTTTATCACGAATTCTTTTTATTTTAAAATTTTTTGCCCACTTTATTTTTATTTTATTTGAAAAAAAATAGTGGAATTGCATTTATTTAGTCGAACGAAAAATCTTATTTAAACACTTTTGCATTCTCTAATTTGTTTTTCATTTGTTAGGCAAAATGAGTAAATCATTGGCATTCAACACTGCTAGCTCCACTGGCTGGAAACAGGACGAATAGAAGTGTCTATTGATCGCCAGCACTTCTCGAATTTTCTGATTTACTGGAGGCATCTGCCGGTCTATGATGCCCGAAAGTCTAAGCAACAACCAATTAGTTTCTTTGTCGCTTATTTAACAGAGCGGCAATTCTTCGTTCTGACAACATTTCATCGCATTTCTTAGTGGTGATATCCGTTCTAACAAAATTATTAATTCCAGATTATTAAATTCTTGAATAGATTCAACAAAATCCTTGTTCGCTTTCTTTATAAATCGAATACATTAATATCCGCCCATCTAAAATAAATAAATTGCACTCTGTTAAATCAATGCAAAGGTTAGAGATAAAGGTTAAATCTTCTCCTTCTAAAAGCATTCGCCATTTGTGATATGGCTAATTCGGTGAACTATTTGGATGAAACTCCTTCGCCAAATAGTCTCTTAATGACAGTTAGGTGCGAATGCCACCCTAATTCCATTTTTACTGGCAGATTTATTCCAGTCAAAGGATAAAATTTTGAAGCTTTGAGTGTTCTCGAAATATTCGACCATCGTGATGTTTGGTTACGATTTTTAATGCAAATAGCGCCTATATTATTTGCTCGTATCTAATTCACGGAATTTATGCATCGCTAACTGTTTTGTTTCGCTGATTTTCGCTGATTTTATTAATTATTTATGATTTGGATTATCTTGCTCAATTCAATATTTAAAATTTCGTACCGAAAATCGCTAGTTGTTTCGTAATTTTTATGTTAATTTTCTTCTTGTTTTTATTTTCTTGTTAATGAATACCTTTTGCGTTGCGTACCAACTTTTACATTTTTGGTTTTAATACAAGCTCTGATTTCCAAGAAACAATTTAAATTAAAATTGACAATTTTAAGGACTCTTGCCAGTGAAATGTTCCAAGAATTAACCGATAAATATGATGATTAGTATTCGTCTCGAATTGTTCTCTTTTGGCAGCTAAGGATTTTCCGAGATGGAAACCCAGTTCTTTAGGCTTACGATGATCTCGGTCTTCTGGATCTCCATCTTCCTTTTTAATACATCGATTACACAAGGTTGCTTTATTCAAAGACCATTTGAATTATTTAAATTTTTCGTGGGAAAGTCTGAAAATTTTGAAAAAAAAATTTTGAGAATTGTTGTATCTTGCAAATTATCTCTAAATTATTTAAATAAATATCCTTAAGACATTGAAGCAAAATCAAAATTTAATTATAACCTTAATACCGCTGATTTATATATAACAGTTCAACAAATGTAATTCGCTAATTGCAAAGGATTTAGTAACGATGTCCGATGTCTGCCTCGATTCGATATTGATCTGTCCCTAGGAAAGGTTTTTTAGATTTATTACATGCAGATCATTTTAAGAATATTTTAAGAAGTTTTAAGAATATTTTGAATTTTTTGCCTTGATTTGCCGCTTAGAGTATAGAAGCATTTGTTGAATAAAGTGGTAACGCTAACAATCCGTACAAAAAACATACAAAATTATTGGATTATTTTGATATTACCTTTTTTATTTCATTAAATCCAATATAATTAACTGATGAAATATTAAAAGGTTGGAATAGTTCAGAAAATCAATATATAGACTGAGTGGTGTGTTACTTTATCTAAGAGCAAAGCAGGATAGGTTCGAATCATATTGAGAATCTGTTGCTAAATCACTCTCTGCAAAAGCTTAGGCTCGGATTTTCCGGCCAACATTTTTACAAAAAACCGCAAATGAATGACAGGTTGAAACAAGCTAATGAAGGATAAAAGCGATTTACAATATTATAATATTGAACAGACAACCTTCTTTTCTCAATAATGAACTAATTATTGAACCATTTACATATAAAAATAATTTTTCATGGATTCTAAATATTTTAAAAATATTTACTAAGAATTTTCCATTTTTCGCCTAATTCTTTTTTGAAATCTAAATCATTAAATCATTCTTTTATAATTTTTATCTAAACCGCCCATTTTAGCTTTTTTCAATTCTTTGTTATAAATAAAGATTGGATGATTTTCACACATCGAATAGAGATGGATGATTAATGAAAATTCAAAATTATTAGTTCTGATGGTATGATCATCATTGTTTGTGAAGTAATCATTGTTTGTGAAGAACGTTAATATTTTGGTCATATCTAAAATTTTCTGAAATTTACTTATGGAGAAATCTAAAATTTACAGCACCAGTGCGATGAAAATCTTAAATAAAATAAATTTCTATCTAATTACTGTTCTTTGAATGTTTTGATCGATAGTAAATATTAGATTTAATTACACACTTATTATAGGATATCGGTCAAAAACACGGATGTCAGTTGTTGACGTATGGAATAATGAGACCGCCAATGGCAATGTCATCATAGCGCATAATATCAACAGCTGGCCAGCCATACTTGATCAGCTTAATGGTAATTTGCAAGCTAAATTAATGCAGCTTTTGGAAGTTTAAGTTTGAAATTAAATTCAGAATAATTAAATTCAGAGAATATTTTTAAAAAAGCTATAATAACAGTAGAAATGAGAAGAAAATTAATATCTTTATTGCTATCAATAAATAAATAAGTGAAAGGTGAATACATTCCAAATTTCTTGATAATCAATCATTTTTGTAAAAATTGCAGGCGATTCTTTATCAGATCTATTGCTTGAGGTGATACATCATTATAATTACAATTAAATTTTATCTTTCGCCATATTTATAAAACCTAAAAGAATTATTGTTAAGATGGATAGCACTTAGATTAGTTTTTTTTTAGCGTCCTCTTTTTCTCAAAGTATCAATCAATTCTGATTCATTATATGTTTCCATTGATTATTAGGATGGGACCCTATCGTCACAATTATTTGGTGGAAAAAGGATATCGTCAGTCCATACATGGTGCTTAAAATTCTTCCATATGGCTGCGTTTAGTACTTTTCTTGAGAGGTTTTATTTACTATTTGAATTCTATTTTGTCATTTTTCTGCCTGGGTTCGTAAAAAGCCTGCATAATTCACCATTTCTAGTCGTGGTGCATTGCTCTACTGGCTGTTAGGATGTGATACTTTTGCCAGAGGGTCACTTGGGTTTAGAACTATGGATGGGTCCCCAGTGGATTTCTTAGTGACAGGTGCAGAGTGCGAACAGTACGCTTTAAATGAAAATCTTTGCAATCTTTCCGTTTATGATTATCGATTCGATAACTTTGTTCCACGCAGTAATAATAATATTAAGTAAATTGATAAATGATAACGTACCATTCATAAATGCGATAATGCTGTAAGTTTTTTAGTGCAAAAATCAGTCAGAAAGGTATTTCTCAGAATTTTTATTATTGCTTATAATAAACATCATCGTTAAATACACAAATGCAAAGCCTTTGTATAATATAAAAATAAGGGACAATAAAGAATGAAAAGCGATAAATGACCGATCTTAACAATGGTCAAAGTATTTTTGGCCGTATGGCTGCGGCTTTAATGCATAATCTTTACATTGTGTAAACAATTGTCTTAATTTTTCTACTAAATTGGCGAAGAAAATTTCCAAATTGTTGTGAAAATATTTCTGATGCGAAGCAAACATAATGAGTTCGATTTCTCTTAACCTAAAAAATTGCAACTGAAATTTGTTATGCTTTTGGGGACCCTATTTTCATAAACGAATCGCTTGATTGACTAATTTTTTTATTTTTAGTTAATAAATTCATTATTACCTCGGAAATATAAGAATATGCAAAGGATTTGTGAACGAATAACGTGCAAGTTAAATTAAAATAATGAGACAAGCTAATAATTAAAGAAAATATTTCATGGAAATATGATAGTCACACGAGGATTAGATGAAATGATCGGCTATATATCTTTTAAGATTGATTAATTCGTATAAAAGCAAGCAACCTCAAGCAGCTTCTCAATTAATTTTGAGTGGCATTATGGAAGTGTGAATATGGCAGACAACCTTGCAAAATTCATAATAATAGTGATTCGATTTACGGATATATTGCATAAGATTTAAAAGAATTGGTAATAAAAATATAAGCATTGATAAAAGGAAAAGATAACAAATATTTCATCTATATCATTGATGAATTTCATCGCCAAAAATCTCATTCACTGTGAGATCACATAACAATAAGTAATTAAAAAGAGATTCTGTGAAAAATTTGCTCCAGAATAATTAAAACTGGAGAATACCTGATAAAGAAATTTTAAGATGAATAGCAGCAAATTTTTAATTTTAAGATAACTTTAAAAATAAATCCGTAGTGATAGAGCAGATTGTCAAAAATTTTAGATTTTCATAATTGCGATAAATCGACCTGTCCGCTTTTTTTAAGCCTTAAATACATTTTCAAATTGAAACTATCCAAAACTATCCTTTGCGATTAATTTGGTTATTCTGCTGGACAATTTGGAAGTATTTTCATTGATTTGCGTTTTCTTCGCGTATTTTTCATTTAATATTTCTCATTTTTTACTTAAATTTTTATTTTATTTATAATTTTACCATTTTTAACTCGTTGTAATTTTATTTCTTCTCAATTTTATCTTTTTCATGCTCAAAGCTTATCAAAACTCAGCTTATCATTAATCAATATCACTGTTTCAAAAATAATTTCTATTATTATTTATTATTATTTAATATTTATTTCTATCTTATATAATTTTTATTTAATATTCGTTAAATTAATTATTGCTTTGCCTCTAAAATAAAAACATAATGGCGACTAAAAAAATGAATTATCACGAAAACAAAAATTGAAAATCGGCATATCAAAAAGGGATTAATCTCATATCACATCCCCATTCATATTCACCACCATCGATCAAAAAGATTTGTTGCAGAGCCGATTTTAGAGAAGAGTACAATCATTGAAGGTGATGTATTACTTTACAAACAAAGAAAACATCGAAATCGAGCGATACCATTAATGAGTGCTCCACAACGTATTGCTACTGACCGAATTACTTTTAAAGAATGGCTAAGGGAAGTCGCAAAACTTCGAAAAGGTTATTTTCGATGACATTTGATGACACACTACATTTTTTAAATTTGGGTTCAAACTCTTTATCCAGTTTTTGCCTTATTCTTACCACTTGCCTTATTATTGAGTATTAAAGTGTCTCCTAAAATTAAATTTCAACAGGTGTGCTCATCAGTATTCTTTTCTCTTTCTTTTTTCCTTTCCTCTTTTCTCTTCCTTTTTTCTCTTTCCATCTTCATTTTATATTGAAATGATCTGGATGGAGCGATTACTGCGCAAAAAATAACAAAGTAGAAAGAAAAATTTTATACCGCTATGGTTCCCTGTCCATTTAATCGAAATCTTGAAAAAATCCATTGTTTTGAATCTTTTAATCTCTGATAATCTTTTGTGGATTTAAATCGTGCTTTTGATTTTCAGTGTATGTTAACTTTGTTGAAATGAGGCCTATAAGAAATAACAATTAATTTTATTCGACTAGAATATATTACAACTATAAGCACTCATGAACTGGAACCATAAATTTGGGATTTGCGAATTTTAATATAATATTTAATATTTATATTTATATATTATATTTATATTAAAATATTTATATTTAAAATGAAATATTTCATTTAATCAGCTGAATATTTGCATTAGCGATTAATCAGAACGAGCCGGACCGAAGAGAGGCATTTTCGAATCCTTATTCACCATAAATCTTCGCATCTTAATATGATACCATTTAATTCCTAAAGATAAATATTTTAGTGAAAAAATTTGTTATAAAAGTTGTCAACTTCGCATTCACTGAAAACGAAATCTTATAATTGATCTGGTTTTTTCTTTTTCTTCGCTTCGTTTTTTCTTTGTTGTTGTTTCCCTATATATCGTAGTGGATATATAACTAAGAAGACTATAGGAAGAGTATTACAATAAAACAAGAGAATATGAAAATGACGACAATAAATTATATATATAACTGGATTCGGTCGAATCTAAATTACTATTTTGTGTACGAATGAGAGAATTATGTGTAAATGAGATGGGCTTCGGCTATAAATGATTGATATAGTGGAATGTTGGTCACAAATCTCGCCATCAAAGAAATTTGGACAATTTGCAACATTTGTCCATCTTTCACATCGAAATGCCTGTTTTATAGACGAAATGCGAATTTTTTACTATAAGAAAAATTGAACAATTTTCAAAATGCAGATTAAAAACGTCTTATAATTATAAAATAGAATGTAATAAAATGAAAGGGATCAAAGCTAAAGAGAAAAATTGCCCAAGTTGTTCGAAAATTCAGTTAATTCGAATTTTCCAATTTAAATGACATAGTTTTTACCAAATCTTCAACCTCACAATAATTAAACGACTAATTAATTAATTGTAATCAGGTTGAATTATCTGATATATATGATTTTATCAATTTGAAAATTTTCAATATTTGGAAAACGTTTAGTGATCAAAATAAATGTTCGCTCTACGGAAGCAATTCGGCCAGTACTGCAATATCTGTTTGCAGCCAATGAAGAAATTGTTTCTCCCGTTGTATTACATGCAAATATTTTCCGATCTCCACGAAGTTTGGAGGTAAATCTTTGTTATGTGATGGTTTTGGATTATCATTGTAGAAGTAGATGTGGCACTATTTGGTACTATTGTGATTGTGAAAGCTTGAAATTTTTTGGCAGGAATTGCTGAAATTCTTGTCCTAACAATTCTTTATTTTTTTTTTAATGCCTACCAGTATTGAAGCTAATATTTTAAAAAATCTGATTTAATCATGTAATATTACCTTAGCAGCATTATTAGTGATAAGCCTTTTGCCTCATATGACTTCGCATCTTAATTTCACCATTAAATTTTACAGGGTTAATATTTTATTGATTTCCTCTCGTATGAATACAGCACCAAATATATTATAATAGAAAATGAGCATGACATTTTATCATTCTCATCATTCTTACTCTTTCTCTTTTTTATTCATACTGATTAATTTTAGCAAAATTTATGCGAGATCAAATTTAAATGCTTAGGAAAAATTACTATACTATACTGCGATTTATGCACTAATTTTCTTTCTGAAATTGAAATATTCTCGGAGTGATGAATTTATGGAATTTATTAATAAATACCGCGATGAGTCTCTCTTATACTATTTATTAACTTACTTGTACTATTTATTTATTAAATAGTATTGAAGTATGGAACAATATAATAAATAATTTACAATAAATGAAATGAACAGCTTGAAAAATGATTTCCCGGTTGCCTTTTCGTGAAAGGTCTATGTATAAAATATATGGGATTTAAGCAGTTTTTTTCTTTTCAAAATTCAAAATTTGAGAAAATGTTTTTTCAAAATTAAAAATATTTAATGTTAATTAAAAATTAATGTTTTTTCAAAATTAAATATTTTAAAAATATTTCGGTAAAATTTTTAAAAAGCAGTTCTAATGAAAATATGCCACATAAATGCGATGGCTTAAATTATAATTTTCAGAAACCAGTTGATGCAATTGAATTCTTGGATGGGACCAGGAAATACTTTCCAGAAGCAACTTTATCGTTCGGCTGGACGAAAAACAATATTTCCGAATTAACGATTCACCAAAAAAGGTCGTATTTACACTGAAAAGTTTGCATTCAATGAATAAATCCCTGGTAATTTTAGCTGTTAATTTCAGAATAAATTGGCGAGAGTTGTTCCAGATATTTTCATTGATTAAACGAGTAGAGCAACCGATTATGATTTCTGCGAGAATTTCTGTAGTACGTAAGCTTAACATTTATTATGAGGGGCATAAATTAATTGAGAGAAAATTCATATCTAGCTTAATTGTTTTAGTACTGGTCAAGTGGATCGCTTGTTACTATTCAATTTTAATCAAAAAATTTATTTTTAGGTGATTAATTCAATTTCTCAATTGTCGTTTGTCCTCGGTATAAAACGAGAAGTTTCTCTTCTAATTTGGAGTGACGAAACGGACCTAGTAGACGATTGGATGAATCTGATCTCTCTAAGATCGGGGCCATATTCGAAACAGATCGTATTCGATCTGCATCCAAATCACGCTTCTGTCGTTCGCAAATTACCATACAAATTATGTCTTGTATGTTTTTCAATTTAATAACATTTATTATTAATTGCTATTAATTGCTACAATTGTTTATTTTTGTGGTACTTTATTTGTATGAGTTCTGTCTGATATAAATTATATAAATTATAAATTTATTCATCCTATAAATTTCACCAAAAGAATCATCAAAATAATTAGAGAATGAGCTCAGGGCGATTCAGTTTTCGATCGCAAAAAATGGCATCGCATCGAGTTTCCTTCACCATCCACGACAGCATCAGGCATTATTGAAAGTAATGAAGGTGTCGCATTTATTGGGTGGTCCAACTCATTTCTCATATCCATCTTGAAACCACCTATATTTCCAGAAATACAAAAAATATCATCACAAGTGCGTTACATTTCTTCTTCATTCATATTTTCCAAATTTATTGTTTGTTAAAATTTGTTGATATTTTTTTGACTATAAAAGTGTTTGAGCGATCGTTTTTCTTTCAGCCTCATTAATTTCTAATTTAAATAATTCAAATTAATTTAAAAAATCTCCACTTTAATTAAACAACTAATTTGTTATTTGCCTTAATTTTTATTTCATTGGAAAATTTTCCTAAATATTAAATGTCTCAAATATTAGGTTATGTTCATACGACAACGATATGAAAAAGAAGGCGAATGGTTGAATGAAAGTGGTTTATCAGTGTATTTGCTAGAAAATGTTGTCGATATTCAGACATCTGAAATTAATTGTGGAATACAGGTAGAGCTTCGGTTTTCCTTTTTTCAGCCTTTAAGGCCTTTAAATAATTTGGATAGTTTAAAATTTATATTTACAATAATTCATACTACACGCTAATAATAAATTATTTTTTATTAGCGTGTAGTATGAATTATTATGCAAAAAACATATTGGCATATTGTTTCTTATGAACTGTTTTGGGATAAATTACTCTTAATTAGTGGATTTTTTTATTGCAAACCCTTTTTCCAAACCATTCATTCAATTTTTTGAATGCCTTTTATATGGCGCGTCAGTTTAAATGATTATTGTTTGTTTGCGTGTGAAATTTTGATCGAAAATTTCACTAATCCGGCTGAAGTAACATTTATGTATCGAAAGAGAAAAGAAATGACAAGGCAGCTTTTGTTGAACTTAAGAAGATCAATGTGGCTTCCTTTTCGTTTGGCTATGCAACGTGTTGACTGAAACAAATAATAATAGCACATTTTACAAACTATGTAAAAACATTTGACATTTCTTCGTTATCTTTAGATCTTTCTTGGCTACAATGGTCAAATGTCAATCAAGAATCGAGATGATGCTTGGCCATCATATCGACATAAAAGCGTTGGCCAGCTGCGTCGTGAAAACTGTTACGAAATTCACATAACAGATAGGTGAACTTATGTATTTTTGAAGTCTTTCTTGATCTTCAGTAGAGATGGGCAGATTGAATTCCATAATGAATTTGTTTTCTGAATTTTCTTAGCAACAATTTCGCTTTTCAATATTTTAATTTTTGAAAACTCTTCTACAGGCTCATTTTACTCAAGCTCACTTTCTTTCTTTGTGACATCAACTAAAAAGGTTTCAGAGGGTGGCGTGTTGATTTTTGGGCTGCAGGTTCTAACTGTGAAACTAATGAAATTTACAGTCATTCAGAGATTTCACTCGAAATACCTATCACAAAAAAGTAAAATTATAAAATTACATAAAATAAATGGAAGAAAATTTTCATGAACTGAGTTTCTTAGAATCTCTCACATCTATAAGTGTGATTTTTACCTCTCAGTGCAACTTTTTTTAATTGAAATAAATAAAATCATTTGTATTCCAGTTGGTAAGCTTATTGTTAATAAACTTTATTCAGGTCAAAACAGCTGAGAAATGTTATTATTTCAAAAACGGGTCACCATGGAATTGATATTTTACTGCGAAATTTGCAGCACAGTTCTTCTAATCGAATATATTTTATTTTATCACTTTTACTTTCTATTGTTATTGGTTGCTTTAGGTTATTATAAGTGATTATCCATTAATTTTTGTAATTTAACCTTGCACTGTGAAAAACCTAGGATAGATTTCAAAAAATCGAGGCTAAAATATTTGCAAATTGGCACTTAAGCCAGAAAAAAAAATTTTCGAGCTTTCGATGCCCGATTCTTTATCGAAAAGAATTTATGTTAATTAGTGAAATATTGTATCCACAAGACTGCTATGAAATTTAAACTTTGATGTTACAAAAGTATCTGGAAAAAATTGTAAATATAAAGCAGAAACTTGAAAAACTTTTCTGGTTGTATTAAAAATTGGTTTTATCTCTGTTATTTTACAATTTTCTTGCATTTTATGATAAATAAAGTGGTATTTATTCACCAAATTGATTACTTCATTTTCAATTTTAAATTGAAATAATCATAAAAATCTGTTTCAGTATGCGTTAACTGCTTAAATCCTCTAATTATAGAATCCGAAGCATAAGTTATGAATTATTGAAAATCTTTTAAAGGACGTAATTCATCCAAAAATTTTAATTAATTAAATCGTCAACTGAGTTTACAAGGCTAAGATTTGGCTAACTATCTTTATTTTCGATCAGAATTATAGTTCCACTCTATTGTTTGAAATTGATTTATGCTTTTATTTCGACTTTTTTTCCACTTTTTTTTATTTCTTTCACTATTTATGTTTCCAGAAATTTTTTCTAATTTGTGATGAAATCTAAAAATTTAAAATTTTATAATTATTATGCAGAATGACAAAATGACCAAGTGATTCTCATTTTGGAACGAATAAACCTGTCTTTCCAAAATCCGAGTCACGCAGACGATATTTATCTAGTTTAAGCCAGCGCAGCAAACCTAATCAAAAAACTTCGAAGAAAAGAATTGTTATAAACTTGCTCACCCAAAAATTCCATCTATTTTCCGTTTAATATATGTAACACCATTAACACCACTCACCTACTATATTTGATAATCCAAAGCAATTCATTTTCATTTTATCATTATATCATTTGACCGTCATACTCCATATATGCAGATATTTTGGAAATAACTACTACAATAATAAATTAAATGTCAATTCAGAATTTCCAAACACTTCTAAAAAGAATTTGCTTTGTTTATATAGATAAAATGCTTTTAAAAAAAATTGATTCACTTATTTCATCCAATGTATGAATTAAGTTATAACTGCTATAAATTTAGGTCAAGCAATTACAAAATTTGACACATGGCTGGAAAAAATATAGTATTATATTAATGTAATTGACGAGTGAAGACAATTAGGGAGATTGCTTTTTGTAGCTGAAGTAAGTATTCTGTGGATTATATTCGTCACGCAATCTATTCAAATAACACAATTGTATAGTGGATAAAACTGAGGTGATCGGCACTTAAGCGATTAATAGTAAGGAGTTGGAGTTTCAGTATTTGTCTTCAAGCGAATAATTGATGATTATAGAAATGAAGGGAGACTGATTTTCGTGGCGCTAATAGATGGTGCTAATTAAATTCAATGGATCGTTCAATGGATTCAGTAAATAATGCAAGAACAAATGGATGGAATTAATTAGAAAATTATGTGGGATTTAACCATGATAAATCGTTATTACTATGGACTTATTCCGTTTGCCATTTAAGTCGCTTTTATGTATATAAAATAAACGAAATATTGCTTGTTTTATAAAAAGATAGCAAAAGGAACGAAATTGTAAAGTTCTCTAAAAGTTTCTTAAAATGATTGCCAAGAATAGACGATAATTTGAAAATTTATGAACGAAGCAACGTTAAGGCAAAGCAAAACCAGAAAAAACAGAAAGAGGTTGGAAATGGATCAAATCCATAATATCACTAAGCCAATAGCTATTAAGGCCTGGCTAGATCACCAAAATTACCAAATGTTGATCACCAAAATTAGCGATGTATTATTTTCAGATATTATTTTCAGATATAATGGATCGAGAGGATTGGAAAAATATCTCAACCAGCTTAATCAATAGTGGTGCATGGTGGTGTTAGAAGCAGAAATTTAAAGCTGAGTCTGAAACTTTCCTCATATTTCGGCAAACAAATTGCAACAATGGGAAGAAAGATGAGCAATTTATAAAGTGCGATTTTTTAAGCAAAATCGAAACTTATTGAAGATGATTTAAAACACAAATAAACGCAATCATTATTCCCGCTCGCTTAATTTTTTTAACTGATGAAAAGATAATCAGATAGCTGATAAGATAACTGACGAAGGTCCCGAGTTATAATCCACTAGAGCCAACATCCAATATCTTCCTTTGTTATATTCACTCGTTTTTTATATTAACTAAGGATATTTTTCCGTGAAGACTTAGACATAGATGATTCATAATTATAATTATAATAGTCGCATCAGTGAAAGTTTAGTTTATTTTTTTCTCATCCACGGACAAATTCTATCACCCATCCTGTATGGAACAATGCTTCAAATAAGATTAACCATCATTATTCCATTTACAAACAACTTCGACGGTATCAAACCACTCATTTAAAGCGAATTTCGATGGTAATGAAGATAGAATATTTTAGTAATCAGTAGAGACAGCCAAATCAGAAATGCTGAATGCTACTAAAGGGAAAGAAAGTGCTTTCTTATTTTATTTGTTTGAGTATAAGCAGAGTTAGTGTTAATGAAAAAATAAGACCAAAGCAATAAAGAATTTAGGACAATAAAAAATAAAGTAGTAAAGAGAAAAGATGGTATTAATATTGGATTGGGACTATATTTTTTTATAAGATATAATTTCACAAAAATTTTGTAACTTAATTTATGATAAATGGAGTGAGAACATCGTCTGTTAAGTTCCGCGAGCAATTAATACTGATAAAAAAAAAAATGTAGGACAAGACACTGCTATATTTTCCCTTTGATAGCATTAAAATTCAAGATATAATAGTTTAGTTAGTTTAGGTTGATATGGCCAAATAAAATTTAATTGCAGAACTTGATTAATTCTTCTAACAATAAATGAATCAAGACTATATAGTTTTAAGTTGTAAATAGATGAGAGGCTAGGATAAGAGTCGTAGGTAAATCTTCTGCAGACCTCCGATTAACTTAATTGATTTGATTTGTGGGAAACATATTATTGTTCGAATGAACTAGTTAATTCGTGAATTTATTTTTGTTATATGTTTGAATTTCGTGCATTTTGCGAGATGAAAGCTTAAAATTGGCATGCAAAAGTTTATTTGAAACAGCGGTGATATCTGCATTAAATCGAAGGCGTTTCTCATTGTTGTGATAAATTTCAGTTTTGCCGTAGGATGTGTTAAATCCTCCCGCGTCTTACCAGTCATCACTGAAATATTTTTATCTATTTATTCAACCTCTCAATCATGTTTTCTCTTTTACTGATTTTAATATATATATGATAATGATAATGATAATGATAATAATAATGGCATATATATATATATGCCATTATTCACTGCTTATAATATATAAATAAGCAACGCTTAAGTAGTTTAAATGTTTAAAGCAATAATTTATAAAAATTTGATTTAAAGCTTTTGGTCGTTATTTGACAGATAAGCGAATAGGATGAATGAGAATTCATTAATATTACTGCAGCACAAATCTGATTAAATAGATAAATCCATAGCAGCCGGTTAAATAAATCGGCTTAAAAGTTAAAAATAGTCATAATATTATCTTTTTATTCTTACAGTTAATCTCACAGTTCACTGTCTTCTTTTGTTAAGTTTCAAAATGGTTGGATATTATTGGAGATATTGAGAGAATATAAATTGAATGGAGTTAAAAAAGAGGATTTTATCATTTTGTCAAATATGAAATATTATAGTAGTGACGCCTTTTGAGATATCAAGAGATTTACTCGGCTTTTGCTCGTTTTTTTGTCAGTTATTACATCTAATATCGAATTCATTTTAAATAATTAACAATAAAGGAAGACAGTGATTTTAAATAATTAAACTTTTTCGGTTACCATGGCCGAAGTGCCTATAGAGCACGACTGGAGAGCAGAACAGTGGGATTGGCCACTTCAAAATAATGATGGAGTGGTACGAATGACCAATACGAATGAAAAGTTTGAAGTTGCCTTAGACGCTTCATTCTTCACTCCTAAGGAAATCGAAGTATTTTTTTAAAATCCTGCTTTTTCTGATGTTTTATTTAATTTACGATATAATTTAGTAAGCTTAGCTTATCATAAATCGTCAATTTATACCAGTCCTAGATCTTTAAAATTAATTTGGTCCTGATTTGACAAAAATGAGAAAAGCTTCGATATGTAAATACCAAATTAATCATTTAACATACTATTTAAATACCTAACTTGTGGATATATTATACACTATATATTATGACTCATATTGAGGTAAAAGTGGCAGGAGAGAAATTGGTAATTCATTTGATGCACGAATCGCGTACTGATCAATTTGGAGAGATTAAACGAGAAATAAGCCGCACCTATAAACTGCCACCTGATGTTGACACGAAAACTTTAAAGTCAAATTTGACTGCAAGAGGTCATTTAGTTATAGCTGCCAAGAAGAAACAATAAAGGGCTTTCGAAGGATTTCTAAATGCCTTCAGATTCAAAATTTGTATTTTTTTATTTTTTTCCATTAACTTATAAATCTTATAAATCCTTAGCAATGTCTAATTGTCTCATGAATCCAAAGCCAAAGTGGTGCAATGAATCGTGATGATAATAGCTAAGATGAGATTTTCTACTTTATGCTATTTATAAATCCCCATTGTGTGAATTTATGAAATTCTCTGTAAAATTTTCTTTGTGAATAAATTTTATTTACTTTCATCTTCAAAATGCTCTTTAAAACGTATGAAAGTTTATATAAACTTCGCTAGATTCATTTGAGCTAGTTTAAAAGCTCTTATGACAAATTTTCGGATCCACAGCACCGTGTGTAAATGAAATATTTAAAGCCATGCGTAATGCATATGGAATATTCATTTAATTCTAGTTATAAATAAAATATTTAGTCATTTTAGCGTTTTTTTAATACTGAAAAACAATTGTACCTGCGGTAGTAAAAACTATTTTGAAAAAAATTTTCATTCATATTTTTCAAAAAATAAACGGTGTTCTAGAAAAAGCCCAACAAACGAATAATTGATCTACATAAGAGAACCAGTATTCTACTTTATAACCAGATTAGTTCAAATATGACACTGATTCTTAACCTGGCTCGACGTCATTTTAATGCAGAAAGCGCAAAATTTGAATATTGAAACTGGAAATCATAACAAATTTTGTTAATAAGACTTTTGTTGAAGCAGTGCTAAATAAATGAAATCCCTTTATTTTGGGTTACGATTTTGAAAAACCATACATTTCTACCTTTCAAATAATGATGCACACATATGGCATAGAATATAAATGAGAAGGAAGCCTCCGTTAAATTAATAACTTTCTGTTACTAAAATACAATGGCATTGCCATTTCTCACATGAGCAGCACCAGAGCTGAATAATTGCAACAATTTTTTTGCTAACTATTCAAAGTTGATTAATAATTTAATAACTCGAACAAAAATGAGAAATATTTTTTTCATAGAGTATAGGAAAGAGCATAGGAAAGAAGACTATTGAGGAAAAGAACCGTCGTATTTAATGAGCCAGTAAGACACCACATATTGGAATAAATAAGTCAAGTAAATAAATAAATAGTTTATCAAAAATACTAGAAAGGCAGATGAATAATTGAAGGAGCGAAGCAATAAGGCAGTAATAATATAATAAAATAAAATAATAATAGTAATTAATAATAAGTGACTTGAAATGATAAATAAAATAAGAAATCTGAAAATGGCCAGTTTGATGTTTTTGGAAAAAATGAATTCCCTAATTCTATCTAAATTATGTTTTGCAAATTTTTTCCTCTTTTCATACGATTATTTATTTCGAATGATATAGGCATGTGCACGAAACGGATTTGCATGCGAAATTTTGAAATAATCGGAATAAATAAACTATTGAAAATAAATAAATCGAAATAAATAAATGTAACAATAAATGCCGTGAAGTTGCACCCGCATCATATTATTAATATTTTGCTTATAGGTTTATAGTCAAAACTATTGCAAAAAAATGAAACTGAAAAGTTTAAATCCAACTGAAAAACAGAAAAATCTATTTAATTGATCCAAAGCAGCGATTATAGGATCTCAGTAATTTAAAATTTTCCCAAGAAAATAAAAATGGAAGACAAAAAAAAGAAATAATCATGAACAAAGTTGATGCAAGACCATTAAATAATTTATATAAATCTTTCTTAAATTTCTCAAGACTACACTAAAATCGCTTAAATATAGTATTTTATCAACAGTTAAATTAAATTCAAAGAATTTTGGGATATCTAAAACGTCTCAAAACGATGATAGAATAAAGCAGCATTGCGCAACTTATTCACTTCAGTACATGAAGATCGGATTTGTTTATTAATTGAATCAGGACCACAGCTGAATACACCGATTTCTGCCGTCTGAAAATTACAAAAACATCTTCTACGATAGAATTAGTTTAGAAAAACTCTATAGATTTTTACTGTGAGCTATTAAGCCTTCCTCCTAATTACTCGAGTTAATGGCCATTCTTCACTTCCCACTTCAGTTTAAAAAACTATCCATTGCTCGAGTATCCGTTGCTCAAAAAAATTATTGTTCATATTTGTTCATAATTTAATTCCAATAAATTATAAACAAATAGTAGATATTAAGAATTTATTAAGATCTTATTAAGACATATTAAGATCTCAATAACAACTGATTGGATTAAACAATGAACTATTTAAACAACTGACATTTTTATGCTTATTTTGGATGAATTTGAAGAAAGCGGCAAAGTCAGGCCTTCCAAAATGATTAATAGCTCTAAGCCCAGTGAACATGCTACGACCATCGCTTCCAGCGCGAAAATGCTTTTCACATATATACTACAAAACAAAGTATAAGTTATTGTTAGCATAAATTAAAAATAAGTTATTTTTTCTCTTATTGACATAATTTTAATTTGCATAATTTTAATTAACAAAAGTGGAAAATGCATATATGAGTACTTTATGACGCAGAGTGTGATCCGGGTGTAATAATAATAATAATTAATAATAATAATAATAATAATAATAATAATAATAATAATTAATAATAATAATAATAATTAATAATAATAATAATTAATAATAATAATAATAATTAATAATAATAATAATAATAATTTAAACCAGGTTCCGAGCAAAGATATTGGCTATATCACTGTGGTGTCTCAGATAATTCGAGTTAAATGGCATAGCGGCTGTCATGTCTAAAAAGGCTCGATCCGTTCTGATTGAATGGAAGCCAGTAAATGGCTGTATGGCCTACGCGCATTTCAAGGGAAAGTTCTGCAATATTTCGGTCATCAGTGTATATGCTCCAACTTTATCCGCAGATGACCGCGATAAAGATAAATTCCATGTGGAACTTCAATAGTTAACAACACCGAGAGGTGATATGGTCAATGGAGACTGGAATGCGCGCTTAGGTATGATGGCGTTACAATGAACTCAGTAATTGGCAAATATGGCATCGGGGTCCGGTGCGCCAATGGAAAATGCCTTCTTCGTTTTGCCGAAGAATATGAACTCTTTGTTACTAATAAATGCTTTCGGCATGGCAAGAAATATCTAGTCTCGTGGAACTCTCCGGATAACCAATATTTCAATTAGATTGGTTAGTCACCGCTGGAGAAAAAGAAGGAGGAATAGTTCTGTACTTGATAGTCTTTCTTATCGGGACACTTAAACTAGTAACCACAGTGGATCAAATCATGTTATATTTCGAGCCAAGATTTATAAAATTGACAAGTCTTAAGGAACAACATATCCCAAGATCTTTCAATTATGCATTTCAAATTATGCATTACCGTATTATTGGAACACCTCAGAACGTTGAAATGAACGTCAATGACAATCTCTGGAAAGAGGAATGAATACTGGTATCAATTAAAAACATGTCTACAAAAATCAGTCACTTCCACACTGGGGTTTACTAGTAGGAAATGCGTTAGTTGGGTGTCGGAAGCAACTGTCAAATTGTCTGAAAAAGCTACCAAAGTCCGGAATATCAGGAGGCCCTGATTATCGAGTGCTTCGAAGGATTACAACGACAGCAGTATGGTGGGACAAAAAAATCGTTATTGGAGCGAGATGGCCTTAAGAATGGAGACGGTGGCTCGGATAGGTGATAATAGGAAATTGTTTCGCCTTCTTCAAAAGTAATTATAATTCGAGAAAGGGTCAGTGAAATGATACAGGATAATAATGAGGTGCCTATTAAAGCTGTTATAGGAATGGTTTTAATTGCTCTTGGCAATGGCGTCGAACCGAGCATCTTGGAGATGCCTTACCCTTGTAACCAGCGGAGAAAGCCTAACAAGTAATGGTGAGGAATATTAAAAGAAAATGAGTGTGGCGGGCCAAATGGTATTTGCTTCAATATTGCTTCGATTAAATGTGTTAGATTCGATTCCTCTTCTCTGATGGGAGTAAGCCTATTCTACTGAAAAAAATTCGGTTGGTGCTGCAAAGCCATTATCTGGCTGCGACTGACTGGTAAAGGTGGCTTATCACATTAGTCGCTAAAGCCAGTGAAATTAGAAATAATGAAAAGAAAATCTAAATGTGAATATAAATGTAAAATGCTGACAATTCGCATTTAAATAAGGCCTTTTAGATTTGGTCCACTAAGTCAAAAAAAATCAGTTTTCAAAATTTTTTTGTAATGAAAATGAAACGTAAAGTGCACACTTCACTTCTGGTTAGGCTCGCTTCGCTTATTGGACTAAACAGGTCGTTTGCAAGGAAGTCGCTAGGTAATAGAAGTACAAGTGAGTTGCTAGCACCACCTGAATTTACTCTTATCGAAAGTAGAACTCCATTCGGCACTCCGAAATAACCCACGGAATTATCTTAACTCCTTTTAACGAAATTAGATTGGAAAGCCAAAAGCCTTTCTCAAGGCTATCCGATTCGGAAAAACGGAATAAATCAAGAAATAGTTATTGGTGCGATAACAAAATATGCATCGAGAAAATACAATAAAAATATAAAATGAAGAATATTTGGTGAATCAATATGAACATGAAGGACTCACGAGCATAGTTGTTCGCAAATCAAATTTGTGGAAGAATTGAGTGACAAATATGTGTATTTCGAGGATATTTCCCCTATCCTTATCTTCAACTGATCGTAAAACATCAATAAACCATTCGTAATTTTTATGTGTTGAACATACCCAAACGAAATAGACCTAAATTTTTTTTTCGACTATTTTTCTCAAAAAATACAATTCGCCTTCCTTTCTTCTTAGTCACTGATTTCATAATTTTATAAAATTAGATTTTATAGCGATTCATTAATATTCATCGTGAAACTATTAAATTATTCATTATTTAGATTATTAGATTATTCATTTTCCCTCATTTTGCTCTCCACTGTTCCATTTATTTTGTTGTAATTATTTTGTTACACATACATACATTTTGTTATAATTCTATTTCCCTGAAAAAGGAATTAGGTAAATCAATTTAACCTTCTTGCATTTTATGGCTGTATGCTTATCTGATGATTTCTCCTGCATGAAATCTAAAAGAATTGAGGCATACGGAGTTACACCGATTCCACCGCCAATTAGCACTGCCACTTCAAAATGGTGCCAATCCTATATGAAAATTAAATTTATAAAGCTTTTCTGGAACAGAAAAAAAACATTTTTATTTGAAAAAATGTTAATTTTAGCATAAAATTGCGTTTGTGTCACTTCCAAATTACTGGTGCTAATTATAGTTACTTGCGTGATCCTGAATAAACTGATATCGATGATTAAGATGTACTTGGTTTCCATCTCCATAAGGTCCTTTTAGATGCAAAACTGGATATGCTGTCGAATGCGACTGAGCGAAGATAATCTCACTTCGTAAATTCCAAGTCCAAGGACCGACTGCTTTTATGTATAATTCAAGAGTTGGATCTTGTGGTGCAGATGCTAGTGAAAATGCGTGAGATTCATTGAATGTACAAGAAAAAGCTGGACAAGATATATGAACCCATTGCCCAGAACGAAAATGAAACGAATGAGGTCGCTTGAATTGTACATAAATAATATCTGCAATGGCTTGTTCCACCACAGATTTAAGATTAACAATGATTTTATACAAAAAATTTTTGTGGACATGTTGATTAAAAATCTAAATATACTACCTGAAGGCAAAATAGCCGCATCCAGAATTTGCAACTTTTTATATTGCTGTCGCATTCCAATTATTCGATCGATTATGAAAATAAAAATTGGGCCAATCACATAGTATATGAATTTTGGAGACTGAAAATTTAACTAATCATTGGGAAACCATTTCTTTCTGGCATATATCCTTTATGCTATACATATTATAAAAAATTTATCACTACAAGTATTACAAGTATTTAGAAGAGTTCGGGTAAATATTTAGGAGAATTTTAGTAAATATATTAAATATTCGGAAATATTCTGGCAAATTTTGAGAAAAAATAGACATTGCTTGATAATGAATTTAAGTCCAATACAGTATGTTAAAATATTTTTTTATTTTGTCTTATATAAATTCTAATTGTAATATTTTTTTTTTTTTAAATAAATTCTATGTAATATAGAATTCTTTGCATAATATTTACATTGTATTCATTTATTCAAAATTGCAGTTGTGGCTAAAATACATTTTATATTTTTGTGAAATTCATCTAGAAAATTGCACTTACATCTAATAATTTCGGAAGACCGTGAAGAATGGTAAGTGCATAAAGGAGAACATTGAGTAAATGCGTTATTCTAAATGCATGATAAGCTTGCTTCATGACTGCTGGAGCTGAAAATACATAAATGATACTCATGATCGCAACCAACATGATTCCAGTTATACCAGTCAGCGTCCCATAAAACCAATAACTTATAGATGGCAAAAAATTCGACCTGAAAATTTTTTTAGTCAAATGAGCCCTGTAAAATTTTTCTTATTTATCTTAACTAATTCATACAAAATTTTATGTGAATATGGTGGTGGGTAATGAAGTGCAAAACTCATCTTAATTCTTGATTTTCGAAAAATATCCTAGGAACGACAATTTAAGAAAAGGTAAATTCGCAATTTAATGAAAAAAATTTAAAATAATTACCCGAAAACAGCTTCTCGAAAAAGACATTGAAGACCTTCTTGGCTTTGTGTAGCGACATGATAAAAGTTAATACAATGGCCAACTGTATGTATTGTAGCCCAAATTCCAGCAAATATAGCAACTATCTTATGGAAAGTAATCGCTGAATCAAATGGAATATATTCGTTGAGTGGAGTTTCTCGTATAACTGTTATAACATTACGACATACAGTCAATAGAATCAATCCCATGCAAAATGATAATGATGCAGCTGCACCTCGAGTAATTGCAATCCCAACGCCCATAACACGGCGCAGATCTCGATGTTCTGTTTCATAGCGATAATCTATAAAATAAAAAGTAAGATATGAAAATATATTGAAAGAACCGACTTTTACGTTTAACCATCCACGGAACTTACCAGAAATGAGCCTTAACCACTTATTTACTTATATAATTTGGTTGAAATATGGTCTTTTTTTCAGAAAATCTGTTAAGAACTTTATGAAATTGAGATTTCGCATCTATTAAATAAGGATTAAAATACAAAATTGTACGATCGATTCTTTTTATTATCTCTTTAATTTCGTATTTGAAACAATAAATTCCTCTTGAGTTGATTGAAGGGATCTTACTTTGACCAATGCATAATAAAACTAAGATTTTAAAATTTCTTAAAAAAAATATATTAAAATAAGTCTTTTAATTATGAGTAGACCATGCAAGGTTTTAAACATTCAGATCCTTTAGAGATTCCAGAAAAACTCATTAATATTATTATTAATAATGCTAATAATATTAATATCCGCAATATTAAATCAAAAAAAAATATAATAAAAAATAAAGTTTAATAGAAAATTTACGCCAAAATCTTTCGAAAAATACTAGCAAATTAACTGCAATGAATAAAAATATAATAACGATGTGTTGACGATAGCTTTCTAAATAAGATTGTATTTGATATATCCAGTTAATATGTATGCAACCAAATTCTTCGGAATTTATAGCGAAAGCGAAACTATTCATACTCTCTGTTCTGAAACATTCTCTTTCATTCTCTTTTAAACTTTTATGAAAGTAAGGCTAGCTCATTTACTTTTTAACTTACTTAAAATGAGAATGAACTTTAATAATTATTAAAATTTTTTTTCTTCTCACTCTAAAATCAGTCATCATTCGTGGTTTGCTTGGTGCTAAACTGAAGCTCTTTCACTGGAAAATTATTTAAGGATAGAATTCCCCACCTCTTTCAAAGCGTTTACTTCTTATCTTCTCAAATATTATTGCTATTTTAGCTGACTGCAGTGACGAACAGCTAAACCTAGGTTTTTTATGCAACACTTACTCATGAAGGTTAATCTGAAGTTTGGCTCCACGCATATGTACACCAACTGGCCGCCCATTTTCATTGATATTATTAAATATCGCTGCGAAGTCGTTATAAGTTAGAATAGAAGAATCAGAAAAAATGCCGGATTTTCGCAATACCTCATCAATAACAGCATTTTGCACAGTTTCTTTAATTTGAACACCAACAGCGATGTTCAACGATTTGACAAAATTGCAAAATTCGCGACGTTCAACGCAACCATTTCCATTTCGATCACACATATCAAATAACAATTCGAGTTTATCACGTAATGTTCCTAATATTTTAAATTTTGAATTCTTTTAATTTCTCGATAAAATTAAGAAAACAAAAAAAAATTAGTAAAGATAGCTTTGTACGAAATAAACTAAAATTACACTAAAAAACTAAAGAAATAAACTATGGAGAAAAATATATATTTTAAAAATTCATTTAAAAACTACCATTAGCAAATCGACTGATAACACTAAGAAACTCTTGAAAGTTAACTCGATTTGGATTGTTCTTCGCCATACAACTGAACATTCGTTCAACAAATAAGTCATTTTCTCGCATTCCTAGAGCGTCAGCTAATTCCGATTTAGTCACAGTCATTTCTAATATTTCCCTCGAAACTGAGTCGATGATATTCGTACCATCTGATAACCGTGCTACATCAAATGCCTATCAAAATATTATTGAAAGTGTGGATATTTCAAAAAAAGATTTTATGAGACGTGAACAATCTTACTTTTGAATATGCTTCTCGGAAAAATAAGTCAAGTTTTAATTGTCGCTTCTCTCGAGTTTCGGCAGATTCTAATATTTTTCCATTCAAGGAATATTTTACGTATAACCTTTTACCAAATTTTGCGATACAACGATCCAAAGCATATAAAAATTGAGCGCACTGGCAATCATTCCGAAGGCGAACTACCTGGAACAATTACAAAGTAATTTAATGATATTATGTCAACTGATATAAAGTACCAAGTATCGTAGGTCTGACTTTGTGATGGGATTGATTCTGCCATTAATACTGAAATGGATCTGGGTAGTGTTTAGGACTCAACTGTAACAAGTGATTAGAAAGCTTTAGCCTGGTAACCAGTGCAGCCATTCAAATAAAAATAGTTATAGAAGAGGATATACTGATTACTAACCTCTAAAAAATTTGACAGCATTAGGATAAAAATGGCAAAAAAAGTAATAGCGATAGAATGAAAGAGTACCAGATCATAATGTTTCGGAAGAGAGATTAATACGAATGGCCCTTGAGCTGACGATCCTGGTTCCGAAACTGTTACATCAAGTTCCGTAAAATCGCTCAATTCTAAAATTCGCAAAAGACCTCCGCGAGGTTTTTCGACGCGAATCGACGGTTTATTGTCTACGATAAGAAAAACAGATCTGGAGTAATTTTCAGCGATCCATTCAATTGCTTAAAGCTAAATAGTTTATAGTCGAATTATCAAATTCGATTAATTAAACAAAAAAGCCTTCGTAAGAGAAGAAATAGTCCTGGAAGGAAATAAAAAAACCCTTCTTCTTCCCCTAAAAACAGGCACCATCATTGATTAGAATGGCTTCAGTGGCTATAAAGATTTTTTCCAGACCTCTCGATACAGCTTCAGATAATTTACTTCTTTATTCACTTGTTAAGATAAATTAATTCTTCTAAAAAAAATCTTAATTATATCTTAAAAGTGCGAAATTCACCTTGAATTTTTATTCGATATTTTTTACCATTATCTGAAGTATAGTTGGTTTCAAAATTATCCTCTTGACTTGTAAATAATTTTTTGGAATTGCTTATAGTCTCGGTGCCCATTTTCTTCCTTTTTTGTATCAGCAGATATCCAATTCCAGCACAAACTAAACCTTTTATTAATTTCATAAATAATGGATAGGATATTTTCACAGCTAATTTTACCTAATGGAATAATTCCAAGCGCGATGCATGAGAAAATATACGTGACTTCATTTCCTGTAAAATGATCAAATCTCATGAAAGGTACACATGGTTCAAGTCCAGTAGTATTAACTTGAAATGGCTGCCTACATGGATCACCATCCTTCCAATAAAACACCTAAAAATATCGCTTGTTTTGAATTTAGGATTTGATAATAGTGCGAAGAAAAGGAATTTAAATCGATGAAGAAAAAGAGTGCTTTATTAATCACCAATTTTGATAATGCATATATCGTGATAAAAAGAACCAAAAATGTAACTAAACAAACATTTTCTTGTAAATCTTTTTTATCAATTGAAGTTGTTTCAAGAATGATATCTCGTAACGTTATTTTATGTATATATGCAATCTCATCACTTGTAAATAATCTAAAAAGATAAATAATGACCCAAACATTTGTGCCATTTAATCACCAGTAGATTTTAAATCGCCAAGAAAAAGTTTAATGTACTTCTCAAAGATCATTAAAGCCGACTTTTATGTAGAATTTTCTTCGGTGTCAGAGTTAAATTTGAAGTACTCACATTTTATGTCATATTCAAATGGTTAACCTGCTGGAATATCTCATTCAAGGAATTCTTTCTCATTTGGCAAATTTTTTGCCTGTATAAGTGGGCTGAAGTCGTTTGTCGTTTACCCACTTAGAAGAAATACAGGTGGCTCATCAGGTGGCTTACACAGATATCAGATATTTTTAATGATCAGCTAATTCCATCAAGGAACAAGAACTTCCGGTGACCATTTAATGTATATTTAATATGTATAATAAAAAAGAGAAACCCATTCAGCGTATTTTCGAACCAAAATCGATCACCATCGCGTAATCTCAAAAACTGATCAAAAATAATAGCAGCGAATAGTTCGCCGGGTCCCTCATCATTCGTTTCCAAAATTCCTCCGACATACGCATCCAACTGTGAAATATCACCTTTGTAAAGCTTGGCTAAGTCTTGGAATAACTAAAATTAGTAGTATCAGTTAAATTTTACGTATAAAAACTCTAATGATTAAAATGAAAAATGAACTTGACAGTGATTTACCTTAGGATTTTCGGTATATTTTTTTGGATTAATTGTTGACCAATTTCTGGCAGGTAAATTAAATATTTTTCTAATTTCATTATATGGAGGCAAACCGTTATCTCGACCTCTCATTATCGTACTTGAGACAACATCAAGGCGAGTAAAATGCATCGGACCAAATACAAAATCTAAAATCTTAAAATTGCACCCTAGAATTAAGGACAGAATTGGGCAAAATTAAAAAATCAGTCCAAATTTTTTCTCAAATTCCCTTTTGATATCAAAGAAAGAAAGAAATAAATGTGAAAGAAATTGCTTAAAGAGATTTTGGTCAAAAAATGACTGTTGTCGAATATTATAATTATTTTTTAATAAGATTCAATATCAAGTTAAGCAAATTAGCAGTTCGATCCTGACAAGCACCTCTTAAATCTTCAACGACTATGTTATCTTCTCCCTCGGCAATCTGTGATGCCATGCCTGAAATGATTTCGTCAACAGAATATTCTTGAACAATATCTTGAGCATTCCACCAATTTTGGCAAAGCCTCAAAGCTGGATAACCGCCGATTTCTGAACGAAACTCGCACTTTCCTTCCCCATTCTTCCTGAATAGCAATCCAGGCGGTATCTAAAAATGCAGTACTTTTAGTCATTGAATCGGAAAGAATAGGTAATTTTATCTCGACGAAATTTCACTTCAAATTATTTTTTGTTTTTTATTTTTAAAGTCAATTTTAAATTTTAAATTAAATCAACAAACGAAAGTGTGTGGAAATCGAAATGCAGCTGTGGCAAAAGCGTGAGATATTCCTGGAGGCACATATGGACGATACTTTTTATATGGTGGTACTTTGTGCAAATCTGCTAAAAAAACAGGCAAGAAGTCGTAAATTGTTATTTTTTGAAGGGTTGCTATTACCCATCGACGTGCTGCCTGTAAGAAAGAATCATAAAATTCCAGAAAAACCAAAACAGGTTAAAATTAATCAGAAGAAAAAGTTATAATAATAAATTAGAAAAATTTCACCTGAAAAATTTCTTCATCGGTCCAGTCAGGATTTTGTTGCTGTATATATTGGGCTAATTTATTGTGCCATCTATATAGAATAAGACCGAGGCTTAGCAAACCAGGGTTCTCATTAGTACGAGAATCGCCCAACACTTTAATTTTAAATGCGGAATTGTAAAAATATTTCAAAATATTTGAAAAGAACAAATTAGAAAAATAAGGTGTTTATTGAAGATTTAAAATGATAGAGTAATTCATGATTCTTGGGGAATCTTTATGAATACAAGTAAAGTGCAACAATATTGTCGCGAAATGGAATGTCTTTTCTAAACTTATTACTTCAAACCGCTGTTCTCGACCCCCCAAGAGAAAACTTTCATTAACTTAATCGATTCTTTGTTTATTCCATTTTATATGTCAAAAAAGCGTAAAGGTCAATTTATAGTATATATTGTATATTCTTTTTAAGACATCGTTCTTCTTCCTTTATTTAGAAGCCATCAAGGGACCCAAGCGGTTGGATCCCAATGTTTGTGTATTCAAACATTCATTTTTTGTTACTTTGTTGTTTATCCTTTTTATTCTTTTCTCTTCTTTTGACCCTTTAGTCTCTTTGAATTTATTGGATCTTGCTTTTTCTGTTATATATTGATCTGTTTAATTACACACAAGTTTGAGGTGTGGAGTGAATAATAAAATTTATAAAATAAAATTTTTATTATTATGTGCGGTGATCAATGCAATCTTCTATTCAGCGCAAGATTTTCTAAAACGCGTGGCAAGCGGGCATTGCATCCCACTGCTTTCAAATTATTAATCTATTTTTACAAATCTTATCAACATTTGTAATATCTCCTTTAGAAGTCATGAATATTTTCGTACCACATTATTTTTCTATTGTTCTCCCATGTCATATATCATACACTCAAAATAAAAGAATAGTTCAATGTGTTGCGCCAGAATTCGTCGAACTGGTCAAAATAGGACAAAAAGCTCCTAGATAAAAGATTTTCAAGAACCCTTATAACGCTATTTGGCTGAAATACAGCGAAGCAATGATAAAATTTAAGAGATAATATACCAGTTAAAGAAAGCCAATAGACTTACTGAATAATCGTTCTGGATTCATAAGGCGATGAATTTGTGGTGGTGCAGGATTATTTAGGGGTATATGTGGACCATTGAGAGGTGGATAGCCAATCATTAGTCCTTCAGCTAATGTGCCATTTCTCCATGAACGTAAAGCAGCAACCCAAGGTTCTTGCGTGCTATATAAGAAAGAGCCATCAATCCAACTTGTTTGCTCATTGATCTTGAAATCAACTTAATAAAAAATTGAAACATTGCACTTCGTGGTTTTGAAACCATGAAATCATGGTTGCTCAGTGAGATGATTATAAGGAAATGAAGAAGAAATAGATAAGCGAATAGTATCAGTATTACTGTTAGACCAATATTTCAGAATATTTCTCCCTTTTCCATCGCCCTCCCTAGAGAAACAATTTTTACCAGCACACATATGGATCTAAATTAATTTCTTCTTCAAGCCATAAATTTAAAATTTAAAACTATACAAAAGTAACTTATACAACCATTCGTAATTTAGTATATTTTTTTCAAAATTTTTATTAAAAATTATAACCGCTAATGTTCTTTAGTTTATAAATCAGTTTAGCAAAATTTTTTAAATTTTTAAATTTTTTAAATTTAAATTTTTAAGTAAAAATTTTTTCATTCTAATTAATAGTTATGAAAATCGAATCTAATTTGCAGTTAATATTTATATTAATATATTAATATCCTTCTGAATAATTTTTTACTTTTGCTATACTGTACGAATCTAATTTAAAATTATTATAAAAGAAGGTCAGAATATTTATAGCCCACTCAGGAATATGCTAAATTGATAAAATATCCAGTAAGGATTTTTGGATGATGCATCGATTATCAACCTAAGAATTCTCGATGTTCTCATGATTATAATTTTCGAATGATTTGTAAAATTTTGCTGTTATTCTAATTCTATTCGAATGAAGTTGATAAATATTGATAAATGATCGATAACTTGATTGAATCATTGATCATAAGCTTAACAAGAATAGTTCAGTTGAATTTTTTTAGGGTAAATGTTTTTAATAAAATAGTGACTTTTAAATTGCACATCCATTTTCTTCAATTTTTCTGGTTTTTATCACCGTTAGAATACAAATAATTAGATAATGAACGGCCGGTGAAAAGGTTTCTAGTTTTTATCGTTAACAATAATTTCACGGAATCATTAATTAAAAATTCGTTGACAAAAAAACCAATAATGGGATTTTAAAGCCTTTTCATCTATAATATAACAAATCTATGAAAAGCTTTAACAATGTTCACCATTTTTAGCTTGGCTGCTTTCATTGATTGCCTTTTGCCAGAAAGTATAACTGGAGATAGAAGTATAGGTGGATTACCATTCCCTAATAATAAAGCAGTTCTTATGCCTGTCAAAAGACAGAGCTGCCGATATCTCAATTTGATATCTAATCAATAGATCACTCATTCATAATATCTTCCGAAAGCTATAGAGTGAAATTTTGGATTCTCAGTTTTCGAAAAAAGGTTCATTCTTTTATGAATAAAAATAGAAAATTGAAATACAAATAAAGAACATCCGCCATCCCTACTCCCATTTTTTCAAAATTTTTGAATGATTTTTACCGCATTGATACTCTGGAATATTCTTCATCAAAAATATCTAAAAAAATTACTTAGCATTTTAAAATATGATCGATGGATAGGATGAAATTTTTTCTTCTCATAAAACTAAAAAATTGCGAAAATTTCTTCCCATAAAAATTTCAATCGAACTTCATCAAATTTCAACTTGAATATATGAATTCGTTTTTAATGATATGGAGAAAAATATTTAATAGCAAACTGTGGGGCGCTACGACCTATTTTCTTCTATCGCAGATGGCTTTTTAGTAAAATGCCATCTAAAACCGTCAAGATAAACCATACAATTATCAAAATTCATAAATAATTATCATCTATGCAATTAGCCAGTTACATCCAAGCATTTGCTTTCATATTTGAAGAAAAAACCTGTTCACGAGGTGAATTGAAGCCATGTCCAGTTTCTTTATCATATTTTGCTCGTATAAATGGCATTTCGGTTTTGCCCTCGCAATTCAAATCAAAAATAGAATCACATTGTGGAACCGGAATTTTATGCATTTCAAGTGGACAGCTGATTTGTGTCGATTGCATTATTTCATATGCGATTACTTGACCTAAATTTATTTCCATAGCGCTCGATCAATAATTTTTGTGGAATAATCCTTCAATTAATAATTGTCGATTTAGAACATATTCTTGCATTTCTGCCAGGCCATAATAAAATCGCACTTTCCAGCTTCTATTGACTTCAGTAAAAAAATCAATGTAAAAATGTAAATGTAAAACAATAAATAAATCGATCTACAAATGAACTTAAAAATTTAATTTCCTGCTACTGAAACTGAAACTGAAAAAAAAATCATTGTGAATATGTCGAAGAATGTAGAAACTCTTTGCCAGATAATCTTCATGATAGAGGTATATCCAGCATCATTTGCTTCCATTTTTAAAGTAGGTTTATCCCCTTCATGGAATGAGATATGAACCCGCTATGATTATTTTCACATTACTCTAATAAGCACCTGGTTAGCAGTTTCTTATAAATTGTGAGAGAAAAGTATTTAATTGATAATAATAACCTCAGAACAAAAGGAAAATTGATATAAATAGATCTTTTTTGGCCATATTCAGAACAAATGGTTTTTATAATTTGTTTTACTCAAGTTCAACAATAATTCTGTAATGAAAACTATATAGGGTGAATTTGGTTGAATGCCAGCTCAAATTTAGCCCGAAGTAGTGGAAATAAATCGAAAGCAAAATATACAATTCAATGAAATCGAAAAACATGGTGGAAAAAAAATTTACTAAAAAAGGCAGCCATTGTAGTGATGTTTCGTTTGTTTGGAATTCCAGATGGCCCTTTAAAAACCAAATCTGATATTGCTCGTGCTGAAGGTAAATCATCGTTGAGCATATAAACACCATCGCGATATCGACTAGGTGCTTCACGATGCAAATGCGCACCTTAAGTGATAAATTATTTCAATTTTCCGATGGAATAAACAATATCTTTCTCTTGCTAACAAATTATCGGATCTCATTTACTGAGGTTTGGTTTCATTAAAAAATTTGCGAAAGAATGGACCTAAAAAACATCTGGCTGACTGTAAAGAAGACCCAGAAAGCAAAGCATGCTAAATACTAACTAACCAACAGTTCCCCATTGAGGATTGGCCAAATTATTGAACCATCCATCGTAACGTTGATATTCATGTATTCTATCTAAGCCTGAAATTTTTAAATTTTTAAAAATTTTCAACTTTGATATTATATTTAAAAAACAATATATTATTGATTTTGTTATTCTTCTCAATGGCAAAAATTAATAGAACAATCAAGTTGACGATTTACTGTAAAGATGCCATTAAAATTATTGACGACACAATCGGGAACATGTCCTTTTCTAATAATCCAATTTCCTCTTTGAATTTTTCACTTTCTTCAAGCAAAAATTTATCTTATTATATGCAAAATTTCTTTTTTAACTTCGGCATTCTTGCTCTGGTTCGCTCTATTTGCTAGGGATGAATTCCAAACACCTTCTTTATTTAATTTAATTTTTAGCCGTAATAAACTTGATAATAGCTTAAATTATCTTTTCGAATTCTGTAAAGAAATGAAGACTATGAAAACCGCAATTTAATTTAAATCGTGTTATCCATATAAATCATAACTATAGAAATGTCGTGCCGCTAAATCGTTGTTGACATTATTATCATTATTCAATGAACAAGAGATCCGGATTTGAGACTGATAGTGATATTGCTAACGATGCAATTTTGTAACAAAGGATTTCACTTTTTAAAAATAAATCTCAATTTTTGCAAATTGTCAGTAAAAATTTGCTTTTTAAAAAATTATCAAGAGACCCCTGGCTGTATTGTGGTTCTCACATATCATTTTGAAATATATTATGGTGCATCTGGATGTAATGCAGATGATTAGGAATCTTAAAAACCAAAACGGTTTCAAGGCCGTTCGGATGTCAATGCGCATTCAAATATTTCAATTTTTTCTTGAAATTTTCTCCATTCCTATATTTTATTTCATTTTTTTTGCAAATTTCTTGTGAAGTTAGACGAAACTTTTATTTTTTATTTTTAGTTTTTCTTAAACGCTAATTACTTTCTGCAGTCAGTTGACATTCAAAACAAATAATTGGGCGAATGGTGAAGAATTTTAAATGGTTTACAATTAAATCTTTTTATTTACCTTTCCTAAATGTTTCTAAGTAAAAAAATGTCTAAGTCTGAATTATAAGCGTATTATACATATCATATAAATCAGAATTCTCGGAAAAAATTTGCATTTGACTTTTCTATAATAAGAATGACGAACGCAACATGGAATTTAAATGCAATCCATTATTTCGATACTTTTCATGCAACGATATAGAAATTTCTGAATTGAGTGAATTGTAATAAAAAATAGTATATATATATATATATATATGTACCTGTCGTCAATCATTCAAAAAAGCCATTTCGGTTTATGATAAATGACAACAAAAATTAAGAAAATAGATAAAGATCTAATAAAATAAGATTTCGTATAAAATGGGAAACAGAACTGGATAACTAATTTTTTACCAATAATTGGATGAGATCGAAGTCAAATTTTCATTCAATTTTCCGAATTCCGTCCTAGTTTTCCTAAATATATTTTAACTGAATCAATAAATAAATGATTGGTGTCAGATAGGTTACTAGCACCGTCTGGATTTTTCAGTGACGAATTGTCGTAGTATCAGGTAACCTCCGATATATTAGAATAACAATATAATATAATGAAAATAAAGAAATATGATGAAATAAAAGAGAAACAAAAAAGTAAATGAATAAACTTACCATCTATTCGAAGCGAATAAAATAATAGCAGAAATATTTGACAAATTTTTTTACTTATTACATTCATCAATCCTTTTTTTCCAGTGTAGCGCGCAACGGACTGAACTTAAAATATAACTAACGAAAAGAAGAGATATCGTGGAATAAAATAGGAAGAAAATACTGGAAATGAAACGTTGAAAACGAATATAGATCGGCTGGGTGCGATTTTCAGCTGAGGGCAGGGCATAAATGTACGGCAAACCCAGTTGCATTGCAAACAAATGTATCAAGTTTATTACGTCTAATAGCCACCACCATCTTATAGATTTTAAAAATATGCCTTAAATTATTTGGATAAATTTCATAAAGAAATGCCTTTCGGCCTAAAATTTATCAAATATGCATTGCAAATATAGAGTCAAAACATTAAATATAAATGTAAATACCAATTAGCCAGAAATTCAAGAAATTTTTTTCAGGTTTGTGCAAATCGCAGATGGAAGTAGTGCAGAAGCCATTAAAAGCCATTAAATTAAGGTGACTACTGCTTGTCTACTCGCCTAATTTTTTCAAATGGTTTAAGAATCGATAAAAACAAAAATTTTTTAAGTTGCATAGGAATTTAAAAAGTATGACGCGTATTTTTTTAAAAAAAAGCTATTTACATAATAAATAATATAATAATAGTAGATGCCACTTATTTTCATTTAAAATATTCTGAGAATTTTTAATTATCAATAATAAATTTTTAATTATCAATAAATTCAGTCAGTGGTATATGGCTTAGACTAACAGCTCAATATCTTGGTTCTGCCCTTTGAAGAAAGGAAACTCCGTCATTAAAAGAAATCCCAGTAATGTTTGAGAAAGGTTCTCTTCTTAGTAATCACTGGAGCGAGCTGACCTAGAGTTAGTTAAACTAATGTGAATTTTCTTTTCCATGTTTGATTTTCCTTTTTTTTTTTAATTTATTAAATTTTTTAGTATTTTGAATAGTTCTAAAATTATTCTGAAGTCGCGGTATGGAGTGTAGAATGTCAGCAAAAATGCCAAATATCAAAGATTATTCGTTTTAAATTTGATTTCAGAAAGGTATAATGTATTGCTTGGAATAATATATTAAAATCCTAAGAAACTGCAGTTGGATGGCATTTTCGCTACGATTTACATTCTTAGTTCTTATAATTTATGATTTGCCCATAAGAACAGGTATACAGGTCAAATTTCACTTATTTTTTTTGAATCTTCTCTTTATTTTCGAGTATGTACCTTAACACAGCGAGTTCAAAATCAAAAATTCTTCACAGTTTTTATTTGGAATGATTTAAACTTGGCCAAAATATTATGAAATGACCTGAATGGAGAATTGTTTATTCAATCCACGAATTATTTTCTTGGAGAAATTTGAGCATTAAAAATTTTCTTTGTTATTGAAAAATTTTATGATCTAGAATGATTCTAGAATGATCGATAACCTAATTGCTGTCGTTTGCTTAAGTAATATTTTAAAAAGATTTCTGGCTTAGCAGTGAAAATAATGAAATTTTTGAGAAAAAATTTGCAAAAATTGTAAGTTCCAATCGCAACCATCGTCCAAAAATCAATATAACCAGTAAATAAATAAGTTAGCGCTAACTATATCTCGTGGCTAGTAAGTATGGTTAGAAATTTTTCCCATTTTTAATGATAGATTTTCTTCTTCTGCTAGCACCAAAAGTCGAACTTCTCTCTCTATGTATGCATCCAAGCAGCCATACCACTCGGTTAAATCTATTTTATTTTGTATAGCTAGTGTGGGAACATCTGATCGTATAAGAATTATATTCAGCATCAAAAATCCTGATCCAAAAATTGCGAAAAAATGTTAATCTAGGAGCAATTTAATGAAATAGCTTCATTAAATTATTTTTTCAATTAATTTTTCGCACTTCACATTCATTCTAATTAAGATTTCCAGTTGATTTGATAAAGTTAATTTTTCATTGCTGTTTCTTTCACTGCTTGCTGCTAATGGTGCCAATCTAAGCAACAATGGTGCGAATTGTTGGAACAAGATGGCTCATTATAATATCACTGATGAAAAATGTAATAGCAATTTTCGAATTGATAATGAAGCAAAATTATTGTTTCTAGAGATCAATTAATCATTAAAACTTCTACATTTTTTTGAAAACATTTATAGAAATATTTTCCAGTTAGCATCCTACAGCTACGGTCTACTGTATCTGCTCTAATTTATGCCGATTTGTGCCAATAATAGCTATGATAGATAAGCAATATTTATATTTATAAAAAAGACTAAAACTTAAATTATGGATATGGTACCCAAAAAGCCAAAAATACTGATTAATAGACTATTGGCGAGCTATATTGGCAAAATTGCAATTTTTCATAAGGAATATGTTTAGTCTCAAAATATAAAACTAATTTTTATTCTGCACGTCAAATAACGACAATTTTAAAATGGTATCAAAGAGAAATAAGCGGTTTCAAACTAAAAAACCAATAAAAGGAATAGAAAAAGAATTTGTTTATAAGAGCTCATAAGAACTGAATTTTTCTTCTTATAACACTCATCATTTCTGGTTTGATCGTCTCTACTGGCCATTAGAATGACATTCCAGGGAACCCTTGCACATTTCTTTCCTTAAATCCTTTTTTTCTCATAGATTCAAAATGGTATTGAATTACTTGTGCTAATTTAAAACTTAAATAGTGTGCACAAATTCGTCAAACACCATATAGTAATCGAAAAGGCTCTCCACAACCGACCATGAAAAAGCACTATATCTATTTTTATGTCAATCACTCTTTCTCTCTTTTATCAGCGAAAAATATTTTTCGCCGCGGGGCAAAAAGGATATAAAAGAATGACATTCCTTTTTTTTCCCTTTAATGTTAAGCTTTTGTTACTAATTCAGCATTTTCTATAAAATAATTTTTTCATTTTTTTCTCATCTACTCATATTGATAAATAAAAAATCATAAATTTTTGGACAAAAGAAGTATTCTTTTGATTTCGGCATTATTGAATTAAATGCAACTGTAAAGACCTTCTTAGTGGAACAGAATTATTGGCCATTTAGCTTTAAATTATAATCACACAAAAATAATTTCTTTTAATAAAAATAAAAATCTTTTTCTGTTCAAATCACAGGTTCGCGCAGGTTTAACTTATTATTATTTATGGCTCTCGATAAGGCTTATTATCGGATCTTGGTACTCTTGGTATCTCTTGGTATTAGTTGAAACTCTAATGGTACAGAAAAAAACATAGAGGTCGTCCCCAAAACATATAACTTTAACTTTATTATTCGAAATTTAATTCATTATGTCAGGTTCAGATCGTTACAGTACTATATTATCCGCTTAAAAATGCAACTTTGGTTCATTTAATCAATAACAGCCAATTTTAATTGAAGGATATTTTAGAAGATTGCAACTGATTTGCAAAAAATGTTTTTCTAAGCTTTTATTGCTTGAATAGAAATCTTTAAGGTTTAAAAAAATTTATCAGTCTATTTATCAGCTTATCGTTTACTTATTATTCCACAATATTTTAATTTAGCACGATTATGAAGTAAATTTATAGTTAAAATCAGAAAAAACCAGATGATTGGTGCCTTTCTTATTTTCTAGTTATTGCTTCTTAAATATGCTGCAAAAAAAAAGCTTTTTTCGTTATAAAATATGCCATATATAGAAAATAGTTAAAATTTTTGCCAAGGGACAAGTTTCATTCAAGTTCCAACGATATGCTCTTGAATCAGCAACAATTATTTTTCGCTATATCTATTAATATAACTTAGTATGTTACAGACGCTGAACACGAATCGCATGTCATTGTAGCACCATAACTTATAATTTCGTCTAATCTCGTTTAATGTTTGGACAAAAGAAACTTTTATTTGTGCCCATATACCAGAAGAAATAACGCATAAATTGGTGCTCTGATTCATAAACAAATGATTTAAGAAATATTGGTCGAAAAAATAACATTATTAGATTAATATTTACATTACGTTTACAATAGTTTAAATTAAACTATATTAATTAGTTGAATCAGTTAAATTAAGCAACTTGGAACCCTATGTGGAACTCTAACTCAAGAAATTACGATATATCATCATAGCAATGCCAAATAAAAAAGAAGTGGTTGCGAAATTTTTTGTAAATTTAAAAATGAAATCAAGCGTTTTATATGAACAAACAGTAGTAGATGATATGCTTATATGTGCTTCAGGTCGCTTCATTATTTATGAATTTTCCATGAGGCTGGAAATCACTGAAATCATTGCTCCTAAGTCTGGAGTAAACAAATTAAATTGTTACTGCAAGCTGTGTGATGAAGAACATTGTGGTATTGTGGAATATTGTAATGTGTATCGTAATTTTTTTTGATGCAAAATAGATTCAGTTGACTAGTTCTGCGAATTTCAAGTTTTCTGTTTTAAGGTTTTTTTTCCTTAATTCGGAGTATCGGTAAAAAAGAAAATAAAGAAATAAATTCTCTAAATATTTTCTAAATACTACAAAATTCCTGCAGATTTTTTTAAATTCTGGTTATCGCCAAACATTTAATTAATTAGAAAATTAATTAAAAGTGGAATAAAAATGATAATTTTATAATTTTATAATTTTATAATGATAATGATAATTTAATGATAATTTTAACTTATTAACTTATTAAAAAAAGTTTGGTGAATGGCTTAAAAAATCGTTTCATACACATCGAGTTGGAAATTTTTTAAAACTGATTGATTAATCAGATTTTATCATTGCAGAAAAAAAAATTTTGGTTAATAACAGATAAATTCGGAGAAAAAGTGGTTTGATAAAAAAAAATATTCGATGTATGTACGAGTAAAGTTTACTATATTTTACTACATTTATCAAAAACCGAGAAAAAATCATTTAAAGAGATTTTTAACATGAAATATTTGGAGGCTAATTAATTATTGAACTATGAACTATGGTTGCTTGCACGGAAATCTTTTCGAGAAATCTTATACAAGAAGCTGATAAAATACCTATTTTTATGAATTGATTGTCGGTTGAAGGACTACCAGACTTTAAATATCTCGGATGCATTCTAACCCTAAACGACCAAGCAGAGGATGAAATTGGTACCCGAATGACGCTAGAAATGCATTTCCGATTGACGAAATGTCCATAGGGTCGTCGCGAAATCACTATAAAAACGAAAGCTCCATCTATAAAGTTGCAATTCGTTCGATTTTGTTATATGGCCAATGAGAGAAAAGGATATTAAGATATTTGCACTGATCACTCATGTTAGACATAAGAAACATAAGGTATGTTTATATGTTCGCAGATAAAATCTCACATGATTCCATCCATCTTTGCTCAAATACCACATGCATTAACAATGCCATCACAAATCGTTGCCTTCGCTCGTTTTTCATAGGAATTGATATATATATTTTATTACTTGCTAAATCCTGTGATGCATGGCGTCAAAAGAAAGGAGGACCAAGACTTGGACCCATTTAGCTAGAAAAGATTTTAGGTGGACTAGCAACATATGGACCTAAACGATAGAGAAAGGAGGCTTCTATTACTGTCGACGATCATCAGATTGTGTAGCTTAAAACATCTTAATCTTTTAGCTAACAGAGCTAGCCTAAACACTAACGGTAGAGAAAGAAAGTGGTTGTTTAGGCTATCTCCACTGTCTCTTACTTAGACAAAAAAGATTTATCTTTCCTTAGGAAAAAAAGCAAATAAAGCTCGAAATCTCGAAAATCCTAATTCTTCATAGAAAACATTTTGATATCACCCAAATTTCGTCATTTTGAGAATAATTTCAAACTTTATTTAATAAAATATCCTTATAATAACCACATAGCAACTTTTTTGTGCCGTAATCCATTGGGGCTCCTTCTTTTAAACCTTTTTCAGCCTTTCTCAGACTCAGTTAAGATGATCTCCCAATCCCAATATCTTCCCATCTCGCTATACTTTTTTTATACTATTTCAGTACTATTACTGGTTAAACTGGCTCCGCTGACAAACTCTGTGACGAAGCTGCAAGGTGTTTCTAAGCTGCTCGACCTAATACCTGTAGAACGAATGCCTCTTCTATTTCCTCTATCTAAGTGATTTATTTTGACTCTATCAATGTAGTTATTCTTAACAAATTCTGCAGTGAACAGCAAAGAACATTCTTAAGTGACATTCTACTTTGATAATGTTGTTGTTGATGATAATATTTGAGCAAAAGTCATATATGATTTCATCCACTTGACGAACAAATAAAATGTGCCTTAGAGTACTCTCATTGGCCATACGTATGATGATACCCACTGCGAACTCTTGTTTTGATAATGCTCGCAACTACAGCTAAAAAATATAAACTAATGGAATCGGAAAGGCGAAGTGGAGGAAAAAAAATAAAACCTAAAACCCATAATAATACAGGCTGATAAAATCTCACATGGAGAATAATGTTAAGGGAGAATAATGGGAATTCGCCGGTAGTGAAACCAGAGCAGATTCGAAGGGGTGCTGGGAAATGAACCGCATTTGGCGGTTCTCCGCAGAATGGATAGATAATTGGATAGGTAATAATGCAACAGTGCAATAAATTCTTTACATAAGAGTATAGCGAAGAATTAGTTAAGAATTTGTTATTAGTTTTAGAAATAACAAATAATTGTTATTATTGTCTGGCTTTAACATATTAATTAAAACATTTCACTGAGCAATTAAATTAAGAACAACAAAAGTGAACGCAAAACATTTGAATAATTATTATGGTCTGTGCATAATCCTGCAATTTTCTGGCTAATACGGTAGAGTCGAGTGAAATATTCTCAATATATTAAGTATTAAGTAAACCATTGAAATGTGCGTATGGGGGCAAATCCAAGTGATTCTTTGGCAAGTCCAGAAATACTGTCTGAACTACTGTATTTGCAGAGCGTGAGCCAAATATTTCAAGAATACTTTCTTTTTTGAATAAATAAAGAAAAAAGCTCATCGTAAATCGTCGTTGCAACGATTCAAATGATTTTGCAAATGTTTCAATTTTCAATTTTCAATTAACATCAATATCAATTTTCCCTTAAAAGTTAAGCGGAGTTAGCCTACAAACAATGATTTTGAAAAAGTTTATTCCAGTGATTAAAAGCGAAATGTCGTAATTCCTCAGCTGCAAACAGATTTTACTAATTTCATGCACTGAGCTTCGTTAAATTCATGGTAAAATTACCTTGGAATCCAGTTCAAGGTAACTGCATAAAAGTTTACAAACGATTATCAATCCTTATTGATTTGTCCAAAGGTTTCATAATAAGAAAGGCCGCCGTTTCGCTTTCAGCAGAATATAAGAAATTAAGAAAATTTCTTAGCTATTATTTCAGTTCCAATGTGAGATTTTTCAAAATTTTCTGCAAGGAATCCAAATGGAATCCTCATGGGCTTTAATCCTTCGCGGTCGATGAGTCTCGAAAAGTTGGTCAGAAGCCAATGCATAAGTCAAACGCTTGCTATTCTTTTCTCATATAATTTCAAATTGTGCTAAATAATATGGTTTCACATATTTGTTCCAGTGCCAAACATTGTTAATGTTTTAATATGTCACTATTTGTGTTTTCTACACTTTTAACTTATGCATTGTATTCCTTACAATTTACAATTTCTTTACAATTTCCTTAAAAAAATATATTTACAATAAATAGCAAATAAATCGCAAAAACAAAACTAATTTCAACCGAGTGAGCACCCGAAAATTTTTGCCACTTCTACATGAATTTCTTCTTGAATGAGAATGCCGTAAATTTTTGAAATTTCAAAAGTATACTTAGTTATTCATGGTTTTTATCATCACAAAAACTTCATTTTTTTATTAGTTCTCGTGATATATTATGCGAAAATTTCCAATGAAAATTCTGACGAAGTCGACGCGAAAAATATTTATTAGTTATATTGAATGGTTAGAAAAATCATTTCGAAGCGCCGATTTTGCAATTTCGCTCTGAGCTAAACAAATTCATTTTTGAAAATTAGAGTGGTGGATGTATGATTCTACGAGTGATCATCTGGTAAAAATTGATTCCAGCGAAGCGAGCAGCTGACGAGGTTTGATGAGCGTTCTATTCTTCAGAAAGACAAGAAATATTCAGATGTTTTAGAAGATTATTATTAAAGAAAAAGAAAAACCAGAGGTTTTGGTGAATTTGCTTTTTATTTCTCCCTTTTCTTTGAATCGATTAAAAAATATTTTATTAGAATCGTCTTGAGGGATTATTATTATCTTCTTCCTAACAAATTTTACATTTATAAGTATAAAGATAAAACAACATTTATTTTTTACAGTTTTAGTGCTCGCATTATATTATACCAATATGTAAAATATGTATTATATGCATTATAAAATGAAAAATGTTGCTGTAAGGTCCGCACTCAAGAAGTGGCATAGAACCCGAAAAAGAATTATAATTATTATAATTATATCGCTTAATTAATTCTTGTGAATTCTTGTGCTTTTCAGCTTGATATCGATCATTTAGATTCTAATACAACGATGTATCGTTATTTTTTAAAATTATCGGCAATCGATGGTAAACAAGATGTCCCATAAGAGAATGTGAAATGCCTTAGCTATGCCTTATCACCCAATTCACCTAACACTTACATTGTACGAACAGAATTGGCACAAAGAATATTATACTTTGGATTTTCCTTAGGGCTTAAATGTCTTTTAATTTTCTTTTTACTCTCGCAGTTCGATGAATTACCGCTCAATGAAGTTTGGTGCTTTCACCGAATTCGAACACAGTCATTCTCGATTTTCGATGGTTATCATCTAGCAACCTTTTTATGCCGTATCAGCAGTATTAACGAACAAAATATGCCTTCAAATATACGATATAAGTTTATACGTAACAATATACGTATCTATGACCACAGTTGTGAAGTACCTACTTGTCTAGCTTATTCTTTTTCCCCATTACACGAGTTATCTCTGCACAGTAAGAGGTAAAACTTCATACTGATGCGCTAAATCTGCATAATTTTTTCTGGGATCACTTTCCACTAATGCCTTTACGAATTTATCGATGAATTTATCTTGAGGGCAAGATGGAACATGGAACATGTTCTTTGAGGTGCGACCTAGATTTATGTAGATGTATTGTTCTTTCATTAGGAGCATTATTACCAAAATCTCTTTGCATATTACGAATGTCTTCGATCACTCGATGCGCCGATTTAAACGAAAAAAGTCTCACTTCCCACAGCTCGAAAATTTTATCTCAAATCAAATTTGATTGCCCAATTCACTCAAAAAAATTATCACTTTTTCGTCCTACAACGAAAACAAACAATGATTTTATAGCAAATAGAATAATAAATGTATAGTAAATGAATAGATGTAA